CAAATATAAAGTAAAGAGTACAAAGTTCAAATCTTTTCATCCATTTTCTGAATATTTCTTAGTGTGAGGATGCAACTGGAGGATAAATAATATTCATTTCATTAAACAAATTACTTTCATGGAGTACAAGTACATAAAATTTTCAAGATAGAAGTACGGAACATTTTAATAAAAATCTGATCAAAGTTTATATCCAGGTAAAGGAGGGTAAACAGATGTTCTCATTCATTCAGGTAACCCTTTGATGAATTAACTGTTACTTATAATTGCTTTATTACCTCCCCTCCCCCTTGATTGAGTAAGTCTTGAATCAAGGTCACCTCTAGATATATAGGGTAAACAGATTTTCTCGCTTATTTATTTCTCGCGTATTTATTCACATATAGCATAAATCAGCAGTAGCTGTCATTATACTTTGCCATGCGTAGGGCCTTAAATAAATGGAAAGACTATGTCTGAATTTAGACTTCCAAGAAGAAGCTTTTTTTTCATTTTCAGTAATTTTTTTGGCATCACTGTAGCTATTAAGCCTTGGTGCTCATGCATTGCTGCTATTTTGGGATACAATTGTATTTGATGACTCAGATAAAATTTTTCTCTCTATTTGCAATAGTGATAAAATTTTATGGAATGAATATGTCTGAATTTAGACTTCCAAAAAGAACAAAAATTTTTCATAGTCAGTAAAATTTTGGACATCACCGTAGCTATTAAGCTTGTTGCTATTTTGACATATAATTGTATTTGATGACTCCGATAAATTTATAATAGTGATGCCTTGTTGCAATCAATGCTGTGGGATAAACAAATCAAAAATAGAAGCCAACCTTCCTTAAAACTTTTAAACTCTTAGCATCACCTTGCTGTTACAATTTAACACACACATCAAACACACGCAATGTTTTATTGCCAGTTGAAATTGCTATGATTATAAAAACTGTGAAAACATATTTCTAAAATGAATGTACGTCGTGAGTCCTAGAAAGAAGGAGGTCATTTTTATAAGATAGAAAGTATGTAAGACGGAAGAATATGAACTTAGCGCGTGTCTACATGTAGATACTTTTATTAAGGCATTCTAAAACTGAATAATTGTTTGTAACTATCGGTAATACAGTAATGCAATGTTTATTGTTTCACAGTTAAAACAAATTCTACCGCAATGGACCAGATATTTCTGGTTTCATTTGGTAATCATTTTCCTTTAGTTCACAGGAGTTTACGCATGACCTGACTGTACATACTTTTTATCTTAGTCGATCACTTCTGACCTCAGTATCTAGAAACAAAATGTCACAGTACCTGGTATAATGAGCTGTTTGTGATGAATACAAAATCTTAATTGTAACCTTCTTTTTTCTAAAATAACTTTGAAAATACACCAGATATACCGTAAAGCATCTTAAAGGATCTAACAGATTTTAATTTATTTCCTCAAACCGCATTGAACATGCACATAAATATTTTTGAAAAATACATGCAGTGTAAGAGCCGTTTTAATTCACACATAGCATATATCAGCAGTAGCTTTCATTATATTTTGCCATGCGTAAAATAGATGGAATGAGTATGTCTTAATTTAGACTACCAAGAAGAAACAATTTTTTCATTGTCAGTAATTTTTGGACATTATCGCAGCTATTAAGCTCATGCTCATGCATTGCTGTTATTTTTGGATGCAATTGTATTTGATGACTCGGATAAAATTTTTCTCCCTATTTACGCTAGTGATGCCTGGTTGCAATCAATGCTGTGGGATAAACAAATGAAAAATAGAAGTTAATCCAGATTGCAACATGACCGTGCCGTTACAATCAATACTCGCACACACGCACACACATTAAATAGAAAGTATGTGGGAAGAAAGAATGTGAAGTTAGGGTTTGTCTAGATATTTTCAATAAGGCATTTTAATATCGATTAAATGTTTGTAACTACCAGTAACCCCTTATTTCACAGTTAAAACAAATCCTACCACAATGAACCAGATTTTGGAAACATGGCAACTTGAAGGCTACAGGAGAGTTGAGATATTGCCAACATCAGAATATGGACAATCGCTTCCACTGATTTTACATCGTGGCATGGACTACGATCTCCGCTCGAAGAAGATGAAGAAAACCGGTCCTGCATCGACAGATCTCTATTTAACAAAGTGTGGATTGCAAGTCCTCAACTCGATCGAGGGTAATATGGCGGTGGCATCAATTATCGGACCAGCTCGTACGGGAAAATCGTTCATTATTTCTGCGTAAGTAGTATGTTTATGATCTTACAATAGGTGGGTTTAATTATCATGCATCATAACACGGGATTTAGATCGACGAACCAAATGAATCTGCGCATGCAATTAGTAAGTACTCAAAATCGATTATCAAATGACGGACCCTTTAAACATTTATGGGAGCTCTAACAAAGTCTGTGTTTACATGTAGAAAAAAATACTTTTTACTTTTTTGTCACAGCACTGTTGAAGAAAAAGTGGTGTACAGGGTACATCAAATAACGCATAATGGTCGCTTATTTTGTGTATGCTTAAATAATGAATAGTAAAAGCTAGTATCAGAATAACAATTGTCAAAGATTTGACAATGTTAAATTTGAACTCGCTTACCATGTGTAGGATATGTTGTTTTATAGCATTGGCGGTTCTTAGATATATGAGGGGGAGGGAACGACTTTTATTTTGACACCCTTCCGTTTCTCCAACCCACTAACATTGCCCCCCCACCCACCCTCTTCAACACTCCACCTTAAAGTGTGCGGGTTCAGTCATTTTGATGTAGGTTGTGTTTGTTCTCACTTTTGTGTATACCGATTTGTTTGGAAAAGAGGAGAGGGGTGCCTGTTATGTAGTGAGTGTACACTTTTACTCTAAAGAGAAGCACTTAGCGCCAAGTTAAACATCGATAAGAATGCAGTGTTCACAGCAACCCATGCCCTAGTTGCTTTCATACAACAACTGGAATTGAGACCGATAAGAACAACCTGTTTGACATTACATGTCTGCATTTTCGTTCAATACCCATTAAGCCTCATCCACCTTTCAGGGGCCTCGCAGCCCCGGACCCATGTATCTTTTGCTCTCTCTTCGTTCGCATGAAGTTTTGAGCCTGTTCCTTTCATGTAATACTCAAGCAACTTATACCCCATCAATGGATAAATAATTAGTTTTGAAATAATTTACACCATATGTAGAATTAACTTTTACAAAAGTTAGTTCAATTTCCTGGAAACCGGGCCTCTGAGGCCCGGTGGAACAGTAATCCATGTCCCCCAGGTTGTCTGTATAGGACTAACATTACTTGGGAATAGTAGTCCTACAGGGACTTAGGTTCGTGGCTCATAATTAGAGTAGGTAGGACTTGTATTACTGTCGGACTTTTATTCCTGTTACAACTATGACAGTATTAAAAGTCCAGCCATTTGAAAGTCCTATCTTTAGGCAATAATACTGTTAAATGATAAAAATATAAATGTATATGAAATCCTTCTGGTGAGCCATATATCAGACAAAAAATGAAAAATTTGCAACTTCAGCTCGCCTGTGTAGTGGTTAGCGTGCAAGACCACAAGGTAAGAATTCACGAATCGTGCTTTTGCATCTATGGGTTCGAGACCTACCTTTGGCATGACCTTACCCTAGGACATGCATTCCCAGGACTTAGTGTCCCGGGGGACTTGCGTTACTAGGACGTGCACTTCTGCCACACCGGTCCCTTGATGATTTTACTTCCACATGGGAGCATGTGTATATATGTGATGCATTGTTGGGTTTTACATTTGTGTGGAGCTTTGTTCAAACAATGTCTAGAAATGTATTTGAGGCACTTGGCAACTTGCTGCCAGATAGGGGGAACGACAGTGACCCGCCAGATGATTCCTCTGGGAGTGATTATGTACAATCAGATAGCTCATCAGAGTGTGATCCCGAATCATATATCAGTTTAAATCTATCATTATTACATACCTGATAGACTGCGCTAGCTTTGCGAAACTTTCCATTTTGAGAAAAAAAAAGATTTTTCCGCATATTCCATACACAGTGTATACTCACCCAGGTGGAGGTAAAGCGAGCAAGGGACCGGGCCTCGGAGGTTTCAGGATTTACGTAGGGTTCCATTTTCTTGTGGATGAGGATTAAATATACTGTTACAATCTGACAACCCAAAAAGCTATCAAGTCAGGAGCTCTGTCCTTGTAAATAATGCGTCTACTCGTTTAAGATATGCTTGCTATTTCAGCTAGGCAAGTTGGAACACATCTTTATTTATCAATTATTTGGGAAAGAAGAGGGGTGTCTGTATTCAAAAGTCATTTTATTTTAAGTAAATTAACTAGTACTCTATATCTTTCTGATCTCGTCATTTAAGAATTTTGGGTGATTTGAACGTATTCCCCGTGGGCCATGAGATCAACAGTGAGACCAGGGGCCTCTGGATCTCGACCATTGGTATGCAGAAAGCAAATGGAGATACTGTCGTGTTCATTGATACTGAAGGCACAGGTAATCTCTCTCTTCTTTTTCTCTTTCTTTCTCCAAATTACACACACCCACGTACTACCACCCTTTCAACTGAACATATCTCGGACATATTTATTATATCAAATATGTACACTTTATTTCTAAGTTCTACTAGCTATTTTTACGTGCATTCTTGCTCATGGGTGTGCCCTATTTCATTTTATCGATTCATTTTTTATTAATATTTTGACGCCCAAGAATGGCAAGGACAGCTTTCACTAACGTGTTTTCTTTCTCAGATGATCCCAGTTCAAAAGACGACTCAGACGTGAAACTCTCGTTTATAACACTCTTGTCCAGCTCCTTGTGCATGTATAACGCAAAGTCAACGTTCAAAGGAAGTGATTGTGCATTTCTTAAGTACGTAGGTCGTTTGTGTAATCTAAATTCACTTGTATATTGCATGTGCAATTAAGTGTCTTTCCCCAATTTTATGTTTGCTGTAATATTAGTGTGTAGAGTAATTAGAATGCAGGGATTAATACCAGGTCATGATTTAAATTTTTATATCTTTTAAAGATGCATCTGAAGCGAGTTGACATGTAATATCATTGCCACTAAACCTAACCAAATGCCGGTCACCATATTATAGACCACATTCAGATTCACACATCGTACTAACTGGGTTGGCCCAACTCTGTAGAGGATTTTCGCTAAAGTGCAATCACAAAAAAGCGGTTAAATTGTCTGACGCGCCTCCTATATCAGCTAGGGGGTAATTAACTATCTTGTACCCCTATTCCACATCGAATTTGGATTCCACGTACCGCCAGGAAATGTTGCCAATAAAAAGTTACGATTTGCAAGAATGACATAAGAACACTTGCCTAATGTAGGATTCAGTTAAAGGGATAATAACTCTTCGTATGCGATCTATATTTCACAATAAGAACATTGTGAACAACTCACAGAAATATAATGTATTCTGTTTTACCAACAAAACGGCAGTTATAGCTATTATTCTGATATCCGAGCATGTATTCAGACCGCGTGACCTCCATTGATGGCTATACTCTGTTATAATCTCTTAAGAGATTTAAAAAAAAAACTTTTTAGAAAAAAAACAGGGACTAGCTTTGGATGTAAAAATGGATTCATTAACCATCGGTAAGTATGGGAAAATTGTTGTTTACTCCGGGAAAATTCATTTTTTGGCCAAAACGAAGAGTTATTATCCCTTTAAGAGAAAGCTTAGGCTTCGTTCACATGCAATGTCTATTTTCTAAATTCTATTTTCTATTTGCGGCATGTCTTATGATCACGGTCTGTGCACTGAATATCCCGCCGCGTAATTACTGGCAGCGCGAGCCAGTTACTATAAGTTACTATAAGTAACTGGCTCGCGCTGCCAGTAATTACGCGGCGGGATATTCAGTGCACAGACCGTGATCATAAGATAGCGCGAATAGAAAATAGAATTTAGAAAATAGACATTGCATGTGAACGAAGCCTTAGTATCGATATATTTTTGCTAATATACAGCATTGGTCAAAAAGGTTGTTGCAACCCCATTTCCATGTACTTTTATTTACAAATGATCACCTCACAGCTGTAAATTGTTAGAAATACTGCTTTTTTATTACAGATACCGTGTCTAACATGATTAATGGTTAAAAAAATACCAAAAAGTGGTGAAAATATACATATTTTATACCATTTAGTAAAAGTTATGAGAGGTACCCTCTCAAATCCACTGTTTCACTGTGACTTCTACAGATGTAAAGAAATGTCTATCAAATTGAAAAGACGCCATCAAATGTCACCAAATTCACACACAATTAGCATTAGGGTGTGCTCGTTAAAGGTCACGTGCCTAACAGCGTGTGCGTCTACCGCGTACTGCAATTATCTCCTGTAGACGGCGCGACAGGCCTTCAACACGGGTTACAATTCAGTTTTATGGGATATTGTCCCATTCTTCTTAAACAAGTTGGGGGAGTTGGTCCACGTTTTTATGGGGTTGGTTCTCCTTTGCATTGCACACTCCAATTCATGTCACAGTTGATTAGTAAGTTTAATAACAGGGCTCAAAGATGGTGATTCCATCCTTAGAACATTGTGTTTCTTCAACAAACACTTGCCAGGCGAGAGGTGTAAGCAAGTGTGCAGTCATGATGAAGCCCGGAGTTAACCCCAAAGTCAGTTCTTGAAGATGGAATGAGATATCAGCTGAGAATGCTACGTTCAGTGATCCCACAGGCACCTGAACCTAGCCATCCATCACTGGAAGGAAGTCGGTTTTGATGCAGAATCAAATTATTTCTTGTATTCCATCGATGGTCAAATGAGGGTCCATAGCCATGTTAAAAATGCCTCTTGGAAGGGTGTGTGTAGGATAATATCGCCTGAGGTGTTAGATCAGCCCGCATTTGGAGAACATTCAAAGCCCATGGTATTAGCACATTGTTTCTTTTGGAACATAACGTAACAGGGGCATTTTAATGTAACATTCTTAACAGAAATCTCACTCCATTTGCACGAGGTGACTTCAGGATGTCTTCATTGTGACAATGCACTTGCTCACATCTCTCGTCTGGAAGCGATTTGTTGCAGAAACACAGGGCTCTGAGGATGGGACAACCGTGTTTCAGCCCTGATATTAATCCTACTGAGCACCTGTGGCATTAATTGGAATGTGCATTGCAGAGGAGAACCAATTCCCAAATAATCTTGACCAATTCTGCCACGCTCTTTAGGATGAATGGGACAATATCCCACATAACAGAATTGTTACCCGTGTTGAAGGCTTGTCGCGCCGTCTACAGGAGATAATTGCAGTACGCGGTAGACGCACACGCTGTTAGGCACGTGACCTTTAACGAGCACACCCTAATGCTAATTGTGTGTGAATTTGGTGACATTTGATGGCGTCTTTTCAATTTGATAGACATTTCTTTACATCTGTAGAAGTTACAGTGAAACAGTGGATTTGAGAGGGTACCTCTCATAACTTTTACTAAATGGTATAAAATATGTATATTTTCACCACTTTTTGGTATTTTTTTAACCATTAATCATGTTAGACACGGTATCTGTAATAAAAAGCAGTATTTCTAACAATTTATAGCTGTGAGGTGATCATTTGTAAATAAAAGTACATGGAATTGGGGGTGGGACAACCTTTTTGACCAATGTTGTATAGACTGGCGAGTGTAAACCTTGGCATAGCCTAAGTGGCTTGCTAAAGAATTTATGGCAGCCTCTTATTTTTGACAGGGAAGATTCAATTAAAATGCTAATACACATAATTGTAAATAAACCTAAAGGCTCTAAGGCAGACAGTTCTATGTAGGGCTCAGGAGTTTAGTATACCATGAATTATAGTGTTTGTTTAGTAATAACTTTCAACCTTAATATATATTTTTTTTCTTTGTTTCTGATATATGTACAAAGCACGGTGACTTGTAGGCCCATGAGGCCGGGTGATGTATTTATACTATATGTCACGTTAATCAAAAAAGACTAAACTAAACTATATCTGCCGAATGCACCTACGACTCTGGCATGATTATAAATGTAATCTTGAAATTTTGAGGAATGTTTCTTTCAGACAGGTATAAAAAGCCCCTTACACCTGCTTTACAGAATCGTAGTCAATCGTGGCCAGAAGAATGCTTCACGATCCCGAGATTAGGGTAAAAATACAAAAGAACGGATGAGATGGTGCTAGGAATCACTTACAATATCCAAAAATGTACGACGGATTTATTAAATATTAACCAAGATTTTTTGCATTCAGGAGTTAGTTTGGGATCAAAATATTGGACAGCTCAAAACTTTAGTCCCAATTAAACGATATCTCAAGAAGTGCAAAAACTGACTGAGAATAAACAAGAAATTAAAAATCAAAATTAAAGAATCGTCACGATTAAGTAAGAACCTTGGGTTTTATAAATTCCTGGCGGTTCGTGGAATTCGTGTTGGAATAGACGCATAAGCTGATTCCACTGCTTGCAATTTAGGGATTCTCCGCTCGCTTCATATAACATTTTAATGAAAAATGTGAGGTTTTGAAAAAACTACAAACATTCATGTTACATTTTAGGTTAAAAAAAGAAAACTCATATCTCACACGTGTATGGTGTTGTTTTTAGCGAAATGTATAAATGGCACTTCTATACTAATATTAGTATTGGTATTATTGAAGGTACGTCATCAACAAATCGTTATGCCAGAGCACCCCTTCAGACTTCTCAGTCCCAAGTCACGACCGATTCCGCCCAGACTTCCTGTGGTTAATCCGCGACAAGCAAATGAAACCAATAGTAGATGGCAGGAGTGTAACTGCCAACACTTTCTTCCAGGAAAAGGTTGGTTGAATATTTTTAAGACTGTAAGTTTAATGATCTCCATTATATATTATTAGTGTTGCAAATTATGTCTTTTATTAAAATTTTTGTATAAAGTGATAAAAGCAAGGTAATTGATTTCAATAAAATATTGTCATTTATGCAATTTATTTGGAAAATGACGGCGAAAGCCCAAAGAAAGGTTCAGTAGTCCAAGGGGCCATTGGCCTGTTTTTTTTTTTTTTTTTTTTTTTTTTTTTTCAAAACTTTTTTATTTGTTCATTCAGGTTGTAATTAGTTCAAAGTAAGTAAAACAAGCGTTTTTCAGTTTTAGTGATGCTGTTATATGGTTTGTAGGTGACTGGAATAACCACTTAACAGAAATATTGTAAGTGCCCATATTCTTATAAGGTATTGTTTCCAAATGGTATCAATTGTCACAATTCTATCATCGTATTTTTCTAGATTTTAAAATGCTGGGGTGGTAAAAGGACTCTGAGTGAAGTTTTTCAAGAATGCAATTGCAGGGAGATTCCCCTTCCTGCAACCGATCATTGCTTTCTTGCAGAAATGGTCGAAAATCCACAGAGGGTTTCTCAGGTGTTTTGGGAGACCCTGAAGGGTGTCGTCAGTGACATTCTCTGCAAAATAAGAGCTAAAAGAACTTGTTCGACTGACGAAGTTATTTCAGGTGAGTTGATATCTGTAGACCAACTTCCCGCTAATTGTTTTGTACTTGTTTATTTATACTATAAAAATATATTCTGTACTACCAATTATTTTGCAATCTGCGTTATTTCACGAATCGTTTTATTTTTAAATCATACCCTAACAAAGAATAGCCAAAGGTCTTCATAAAATTTTCACTGTCCAATTTGCCGTAGGTATATGCAAATGCTGCATGATTAAAAAGTTTTGAAAATATCGTTTACCTGCCGTTGCTCAAAGCAAATACATAAATTCTTACTTAGATTATAATCGGTAATGAGCTGTTTTTTGAGTAGTAAAAGGCAGCAAACCCGGTGTGAACACATAAGAAAAACTCCAAATCATTTCCAGGGCCAAAACTTGCAACCTACATGGAGACGCTTCTCCAGAGTTTTAAAACTGAAAGGGAACAGATCATACGTTTTCTTGTAGCCGCATTTGAAGAGTGGTTTAACGTAAGAAAATATTTTATTTCCATCATCAGTTTTATATGATGCGATCTGTTATCTTCTGGTTGCAAGTTGGAAAAGAAGGTAATGAAGGGGGTGCAATCATCGATTATTGATAACTCATCGTATAGACTTGAGGCGATTATTATAGGAAACTATATATGTTATTTAGCCATACAAATATAATTTGGGGCACATTCATACGCGTGCCCACTTGTAAGCCCTATTTACCCAGCTATACTGTAAGCGCGGGAATTTATGGTGTAGCTTAACGTTAAATTTAAAATTTTATAATTTATATATGCAGTGCTCTCCACATCCTTATTAACTACATCTTTATTAACGTCAGCTAACCTCCCCATTTGACTGTTCATCTCTTACCCTTGTTGTTCTTAAGGTACTATTGTCATTTCACAATGAAGACAGGAAGGAACCACCTTTGGAGGAAGAACAGAACGAAAGTCTAGAAGAAAGGTGACTTGGAATATAGAAATCTTATAGCAGTCTTACCAACAGTGCAATTATTTTATTACGTGTATATACCCCCAAATCAAACAATGTTTTCAATAGATAGAGGCATTTATTTTCACGATAGCTTTCTGGTTTTCAGGAAGATATCGAAGGTATCCCTTCGCGAAATAGAAGTCATGGCAGTGAAAAAAGTTCAGGAGGATTGCAGTGCACAGTGGGATTGTCTTTCTTATAAGGACGCGGCAGATGACCCTCCCCAAGAAATCTGGAAGCGCATAGGTAAGGCGATACACCCTTCTGAAAAATCTCTTAAATGGAGTTCTACGCATGTTGGGGTCACCAATCTAAAAACCTTCACGCGCTGGTGAATACTCATTACAGTTCAGAATTTGTGGCAGTTAGGCTTTTTGTTAGTGTGTGTGTGTGTGTGTGTGTGTGTGTGTGTGTGTGTGTGTGTGTGTGAGAGAGAGAGAGACAGAGAGGAAGGGGGAGGGAGGAAAGAAGAAAAAGTTTATAGTTTGTTCATCATTTTTCTTTTGCAGAGGATGTTTGTATGAAACATCGTAAGAAGAACAAGTCCGAATCTGAAGCCTACTGTACTAAACTAGTAAAATGCTTATCAGGGGACATCCATCGCAACCTGTATAAAAATGTGCACTACACCAAGACTGATTTCCGAATGGATCTTCAGCGTCTGGAGTGCCGTTATTTTCACGGGGCCAGTGGACCCTTTAAACAAAAAGTGTTTGAAAAAGAGAAAAATGAGCTCGAACAGAATTTCAGTCTATTACAAAAAGACCGACAAATGGCGTCAAGTGTCATTAAGAAAAATGCTGCTCTAAGTCGTGAAATTTCACAACAGAGAGGAACACAGTTGGAATTGGAAAAGCAGATGGAAAGAAATCGCGGTCGGTTCAAGGAAGAAATTCAAAGTGAACAGTTTTACTTCCAGGAAAAAGAGAAAGAGGTTAATGACTTATTTTTCTCCTTTATTTAGTAGACGTAACTGGCTAACCATGTGATTAAAAAAGTAATACAGCTTCTCTGAATATCTAACACTTAAATTTGTGTAATATACGGATTTCGAAATTTAAATGCACAATTGTACATCAAGGTATCGTTTTCCTTTTCACTATTTTATGGACAATTACTGATTTCAAAGAGATAAAGACCCTATTCCAAAGCGAACAGTTGCGATTTCATACCTGCTTATCAAAGGCGATGCTGTCATTGTAATGCATCCCACTGTACCGGGGTATGACTTTGAAGCTATAGAACAATACTATACTGTACATGTATTTATGATATATCCACTTATTTTAGCTTTACAACAATCACCGGAAGCATCTTGAGGATACTAAAAGATCATTTGAGAGACATAAAGCTGATTCGGAGAAGAGAATGAAGGCGTATCTAGAGAAAATGGCGCTTAATTAACCAAGGCAAGTATTGGATTTTTTTTCTTTTCTGATTGTCTGATACGAATGTTTATATAACTCTACTGTAAAATTAATCCCCTTAACGTGGGACCGAGAACCCATGCCCTACCCGCCACGCTTTATAAACCCACTGCAGAAGAAGGAACAATGAGGGGCGGTCTATGATTTTCCTCCACCCGCACATATTATGTTTGACTGATTCATTAGTTTTTTCTCATGTACAGGTAGTGTTCGTTATTCGCTTACATCTTCATATGTTTGAGATTGATGTCTAAACATATCTGTAGTTTTGTTAGAAGTTAAAACCCTGCTTTTTGACTACTGTGGATATCAGTGTTTCAGCTAAAACAACCCTCCATGTCCTGACATCTTTGTATATACATTTCTTTTTATTTGATAATTTTGTTTTCAATCAAGGTCCTCTTACCCCAGATTCAACAAACGTTTTCATGATAGTGAAGATGGTGATGATGATGGTTATTATGATTATTAACTCATGGGAATCGACTACCACTTCGATGTTAACACAGATGAAGATTAAGGCTCTCCCCGTACCATTTCAAATTCTCATTATCATTGGAACTATTGGACCCGGGAGTTTGGTAGCAATTTACTGACCCGCCAATATTGCATACTGATCCTATCTTGCTTTGAGAACTGTACTTTACACTGTATGTTGTAACTGTTTGTAGTATGAAGGAGGAGAAATTGTGAAGATATAGTGAACCGATTAATGAGCAGTGATTACCCTAAATACCATCAAAAACGAGGTTTATAAGAGTATCCATGCTCTTAAAAAGGCGAGATGTGGCTAGTTTCTCTCCTTTGTTGTCTTCTGTATTTTTATTAGTTCTATAAACTCAACTGTCAACACAAGATGTATGAAAACTGAAGTATTTATTCATTTTTGAAAATCGAAAGTACGTCTTTCCCTTTCTCTTTTTTTTTTCTTTGTTTTTGCATAAGTTGCTTCATTACATTTTGTACATGCACGTGTAAGTACAAGATGTTATATCGTGTCGTTTTAAAAATGGCCTACTAGCATATATACTTTTAATCCCAAAGGGTTTTTAATTCCATATCACGATAACAGCTTACAAGAGACCCCTTGCTCTGATACAAAGACCATGTACATAAACATGCTAGGTTTAATTGTGTTAATATGCTTCGAGTTTGTATTTAAGTTTGTAATATGTATACACCATTTGAAAATTTGCTAAGTGGTTTGAAGTTGTAGTTTTCTATTAATCTGACATTTTTTTCATTTCAATAAATATAGATCGCAAAATTTACCTTGGTCAGCGCTTTTCAATACTAGTTGCATAGGCCTACATATCATCAATTGAAATTGATATACAATAGAAACCATAAGTGTTATAGTATGGTATGATAACACGCCCAAAATGTCATAAGCGACTAATTCGAGAATTTCGTGTTTGTTCATGGTGCAGATGTGTACTGCGCATGTTTCTTGCGTAAAATATATGGTTTTCTCTTTTGTTACGTATGCGATATCGACTGCCCCATCAGGGGTGCAAAGTACTTGGTACTGCACGTACCAAAGAATATGATAAGCGCACCCGAATTCGACTTGAAACTAGGATGTAAAAATTCTCTGTACAAGTATTGGTGAAGACTTGAGTGCAGTGGAGAATGTCTGAAAGACTGCAGTTGTGGATCGTATATATCAACACGAGAAGATGAAAATATAGAATACATATAACATACATATACGGGGAATGATACATTTTGTACAATATTTCAAAAAGATATCTTCAAAGACCCTAACAGTCAATTTATTTAAAACGCGAATAGTTTTAGATTTGTATCGAAGCCTTTCTGTGACCTGACACCAATTTTATGAATATTGTGCTGCGTTTATCATACTGACTACTCACTAGTAACTGTGTTAGTTGTGACAAAACTTGATGAATGCATTGATAAAAGAGTGACTGAATGCACTTTCCATTATCGCTTGTTGGGTGGCTTATGTGAAAAAATTCCCCAAAACATAATTTCACTGTATCAGGCATGTCCTCAAGTGCATGCGTTTTGATAAGTTTTAAGGCGAAAATAGGCTCCCTGACAGCCTCACATATGGGCAATAAATTCACATGTGATTTCTCATTATCTGGTCGCGAGAAAGAGTAAACGAACCCTAACCAAGTACCGGTACGCTCTGATAAAAGTAGAGTGCATCAGTAGAACGCAGTGAACATTAAAAGCATATTGTTAAGACTTCTATGCATTTACAAAGATTTAGACTGGCAAGCTAGTATAACCGACTATGTCCAAGTTAGCTGCAATTAGATAACGCACCTGTGTATTGAATTGCCTGACCATTACGAGGAAAGTGCGTGCGACACAGTCCGTACACAGTACTTTGAAATAACTTCGGCTATGTATATCGGAAATGTAATTCGTATCATACAGCGCCCTTGTCTTCTGGTGGGTAGGCAGCCACCTGTGCAGTCTAGACGCTGTGACGAACAAGGTGACGGTTATCCGATTTACAAGGAAATAGCGTGCGGGCCAGGCGGGTTCATATTAGATGGCGCTAAAGTTTCTTGGAGCTTGTCTTATTAAGAAAAAAGAGATATTTGTAGGTAGAAGCCATATTAAATTGACCCAGAATACCGTCGGTTCCTTCATGGTGTTCTATAGTTTCCTATAGGACCCTGAAGTAAATTGGTCCGAAATCCTAAGGGGACCTACATGTATAGGACTTATGGAATCCTGTAGGACGTCCGATAAAATCCTTTAGGGATTGTCAGTCCTGTAAGGCGTCCTATAGGAGATATTCGTGTGGGGATGAGAACATGATATGTGATTATAATAATTTGGGGTGCAGTTGCATGAAGTTGAATCACCCAGACACGTGTACAGTCGGGTAGCCGAAACACTGATTAAAGTGCTTTAATGAGATTTGTTTTAGACATACATGTACAGTAGTCACAGTACATGTACGCACCTGTATTAAAGTGCGCGTCTGTATTAAAGTCATATCTAGTGGAGACAGGAATGCTCTTTCGGGTCTAATAATTGCTGCAATAATGAATCTTCACGTCGAGAATTGCGCGTAAATATGTTTATAAAATATGAAAAAGAACTAAATTGGAAACTAGTTTCGTCTCTCGAGATAGTACCGTCACGGCTCGGCGACTTTGTCAACAAAGCGAAAAGGGAATAGAAGCTGCTGCACGTTCCACTGACTATTTGCCCATAGTATAGCACTTCATAATTTTATTTTCTTGTTCCCTTCATGGCCAATTTATGCAATCCAACACAGATAGGGTCTGTTTAATAGGTATCGATCATCTATATCAAGACACCGTGGTGTTCTTATGTATTGAAAACAAAACAGTGTCAATGCGTGTGACACAGAATAATGTAACTCGTGTTGATTACTCAGAGCAAAAAGTTGGTAAACTTGCGTTGCATTGATTACATTGCTGGAACATTTTAACACAAAGAAAAGCGTTTCTGAAATCAATTTGTGAAGATAAAAATACAACATATTAACAAAACACACTTGAAGGTGTTTGTTCTCGCTAAAGGTGTGTGCTCTCCGTATACGGAAGTACTACATTAAAGTTTTTCTACTTTAAGTTACATGACTTGCTTATTCACACATCGCTATATATACATGTACATAACCAAGCAGAAGTGTACCAGAGACAAGCCTGTATCTTGACTGCGCTAAGTGAAACTACATGTATTGTAGGACTGCAGGTGCTTCTTTTTCTATTTGTAAACTTAACTGAAACGTGAGAGGAGGAAGACATGATCTGCTGCTTGCCTCCTTGTTGTTTGTCACTGTAGCCTCTTGACGGAAATTAAACTGTACCTTTCTCCTTTAAAGAGAAATATATTGTCCATATCACTGGTGTGGCGGCGTGTTTTCTGTCAGGCGAATTTCCAAAGTTGCGTGATGTTATTGCCATAGTCAATCTTAGATTTAAACTTTCATCTTCCAAAAATAAAACAGATACATATATATCTTTGTGTGCAGAGATGTAGGGTGTGCTTAATGCTAAGATTAAAGCAGGCTTCCAGGGCTGTCATGTAGAGAGATGAAGAATCAATACCCTAAATAGAATTAAAATATATGGCCGAGACTAGATGTAATTGACGTCACAACCTGGTTGAAAAGGACTTCGCCAAATGGACTGACAGCTAAAAGCAGCCTTTGATTTATATTCAATTGACATTCACAAAAATAACCTTGTATAGTAATCTCATAAGGCGTATAACGCAGCCGAGGGACATAAAAGGTCCGCTTCACTTTGATGGCCGTTGGATTAAACGACTCCCGTCACTGACGTAATTCTGTCTGCCTTACAGGATAGCTTTGCTGTTATAACTACATTTCACATGCCTTTGACGTTATATCTTTTTAAACAAGCCCACATGAAGGTTTTTTATATGCGCCATCGCCAAGTATTTGGGGCGTCAACTAATGCAGGAATCGCACCTGTTACAACTCAGGAGTGTTCTGTATGCTTTTGTTACAGATTATTATTTTTCTACTTGATACCATGCGTATAATGAATGGATAAACACATTTAAACCTTATAAATGTTTGCAACTCCCGTTACACGTCTTATTGATTCTTTTTTTAACGCACCTGAAGTAGTAAAGACAGTTAACAATGGCAGTTAATATTTAACATTAAAGAGCTAAAAAAACATTATTATCAGAATTAAAACGAGGAGGCTATAAACCCGTGAAACACGCGTGGGTTAGTTATATTTTCACTCATTGTAATAGACAAATCGAGAAAAGCAGAAATGTGTTCTCACATCAAGTTGTCCATAAATGCCGGTTTCACCCGAAGGAAACATCGCTAATTATATAAAACTTCTTTTAGAAAATACAAAAATATTGTATTTAGTCCGAATCAGAGAATTATTTGTATCACTGCCTCCATACATGCTCATTTTTCTCTTTAAAATATGGGCATTTTGGAACAAGACGTTATTTGATAGAGATTTTGTA